TGTTCTCCAGTAAAGGTGTCTTAGTAGGACAAAAGCAAGTTGGAGACCAGGTCAGAGGGTCCATCAGATTATCAGAATCCCTCACTGATCTTCTGTGCTCTGCAGCTCCACATTTTATCAAATACAAGGATGAACATTAAAGACAAACTTGTCTCTATGCTTATCAAACATTTTATCCACTCGTGTGTTTAAGGTTAATTTATGCATTTCCTGATGATTTGCTTCTTTTGTATTTCCAGCTGTCACTACAGGAGTTCTGCATTTTTAGAAAAAGAATATACTTCTGGAAGCTTTTCAGATCTGATGTTTTTACTTTGCTTTATGCTGTCTCATAAATATACCTCATAAAGTGTTCAGAGAACTGGCTAATTATGTAGGTAGATATTGAAACATAAGAAGCATTAAATCTTTATGGATTTAATGCCATCTTTTAATTTGAAAACATTGATTTGGTAGTGAATTAGACTGGGTTGAAGAAAAGCTATTCAAGCTCAACAAGTCATCCTTTACATTCTATGATTCCAGTCAGGGGAGCACTTGCTCAGTGAGATGCCCTCTGGTCATACAAGTTTCACTACTGAAAACTAATATAAATATTTATCTGTATGAAGATTACTCATGTGGGAAAGAGATAGCAGGACAAAGCCCAATTTCTTCTTTTCATTCACAGGACTATTTGACTCCCTCTGGTGGTTTGCTTAACATTTTGCTTAATGGCTGTCATTTCATGGACAGTGCATAATGAAAGCTCAGTTCTTGATGAACTTTTGCAAAATTTGCTTTTAAAAATAATGGGAAAATAAGACATCTGTTGATGAGAAATAGGGATATTTCCATCTCAAGCAGAGGGCTATTTTTTTCCATATTTTGTCCTGCAAGATGCTTCCCAAGCTAAAACTGAAAAATGAGTAGAGAAACAGAACTGCATTACACAAAATAATTAACTAGGAGATTAACATTTTTATGGGCTAATGCCTTAGATCTGGGGTGTCAATCTCATCTGGCCCCTCAGGTCAGATGAGTGTCATGAAGCTTGTTGGATTGGGCCCACAGGACTCCAGCCGTTCCAGCATGGGAGGGATCCAATGCATGTGACCGCCACTCGGGAAACCCAGCCAGTCTGGGACCTGCACTGCATGTGGCTCCACCTGCCGGCTGGCCTGGGACTGCAACGCATTTGCCTGCTCCAGCTGGTCCAGGAACCATGCTGGTTAGGGGGCCCATGAGCACCAGGGTCTGGTGCTTCTTTTATTTTTAATTTTTTCTCACCTTTATACAGCAATGGACAGAGTGAACAAGCTGATCCTGTATGTTCATCACTTTCTGAAAGACAGAACATATTCTTTTCAGTTTTTCCTAATTCCCACCTGGAGCCTTATTCCCTTTCCAGTTCCTTCTATTGCCTAAAATAATCAGCAATAGAATAGTTAATGTTCACACTGAATTTTCATCATTGGATTTTTTAAATGGGTACCCTAATAAAATTAACAAGGAAATTCACACCTAAGTCATTGTTACAAGTTATCAGTACTCTCAGAAAGAAACTGCACTCAATACATTTTATGGAAAGTTACATCTGGGGCCATCAGGGTTAGAAACTCTTATTTTTTAATGAAAATTTCAGTTCTCCCTGACCTGAGATGTTATGAAAGTCATATACACACACTATGGAAATCATATACAGCCCATATGCTCTTCATTTTTTAATGACAAAATGTCAATTTTTCTTTGACATTCAGGAGATGATTAGTTTAGTTTTAGCTGACAATATAGGTTCAGGTTTCTTGGCACATTTTTGCTTGGTTAAACTGACTGTACTTCAAGAAAATGCCTAGAAAAATAAATACACTTATGTATTGTTGCACAGGAGTTTTTCATACTGCTTTACTTGCAACTTAATATTGGAAGCATTGAATCACAAGGTCTTGTTACTCATAAATAAATTATCCATGAAATTTCATTTAGCAAAGAAACAACTACTTTTAAGATGTAGGAGTATGGTTCTTGCTTTTCTGAAACTTGTAGGAATGCTGTAAATCTCATCACAGCCTCCAAAATGATTTATCTGACCTTGACAATTTATGGGCGAAGGTCCCTCTGATGTCCTTTTCTCAATCCATTAGCGCAGGGAACAGAAAACAAAACCGCAGCTAATCACAGGCATATAGACATTTCTTGCTTACACTCATAAGCTGATTTGTGCACACTGTGTGACAGAATCCCAGCCTGATAGAAATGGAGAAGGTGGTGCATAGTATCTAACCAGCCACTATGCCATTTTCAGAAAATTTCATTATGCTACCACTGTGTTGAGCAGATGTTGTTGAAACACTGACCTAGAGACTCTCTCTAGAGCAGATTTCTGGAAGATTTCTCTCTAGAGCAGATTTCTGGAAAGCAATTCTAAGGTCTATGTAGTCTTGAAGCCCAGTATTTGAAAAATAGTAAAAAGAGTACTATTTAAATCAGTATTATTTAAATAAATGGGGCCAACTTTTTTGGCAAGTGGGCCACAAATTAGCTCTGTACCTTCCCCAAGTGACACTCCAATCCTTTTGCTTTACCCAATCTGGTGCTCAGCTTCCTGTGGGGTGGCCAGGGGCAGGGCTGGCATGACTCACAGATGGGGTAGGTGGGGCTGGCGTAACCTGTGGGTGGGGTAGGGGGGCTGGTGCAACCTGCAGGTGGGGTGGGTAGTGGGTGACATGACCCATGGGTGGGGTGGCTTGTGGGATGGTGGTTGAGAGGGCTGGCTGGTGGGGGAAGCAAGGGGCTGGGGGGGGGGGGTGGGGTTAAAAAATAGCCCAGTACAATGGAGGGGTGAAAAGAGTAGCCCCAGGGATGGGACTAGTGGCTGGGTTTTCCAAGCCCTGGGGCTGTGCAAGGAAAGTATACAGAAGTTCCATGCATCCGTTTGACATAAATCAAATCATTTTGACGCTACATAGATCCAGGTTTATCTCAAACCAGGTTCTGCAATCTTTAGCCTGGTTTGTGTGCATGAAACTTCTGTATAGTTACAGGTTTAGACTAACTGCTGGTCACTGAGACCGGGTCTGTAAGTGTAAGGTCAGCATAAGAATGATCTAAGTTTAAATTGGGCGGCTATTTTGAACTCAATTTAAGCTCCCAAAATGTTTGTACTTAGCCTAAGAATGAGCGAACTGCATGTTTCATGTTAACAAAATGAGGTCTATTCTTGTGAGGATAATGGTGAGCAATTCAATCCACTATCATAATTTTGAGAAAAAAAAAAAAAACCTGGGCATCAAAGGGCTAGTTTGGGAAATTCCATGCTAGTATAGGATATATTTACTCAAGACAAGTTGCTAGTAAAACCGCTTATTCATCATTACAATTGAATATTGTTCCTCTCTTTGGGTGCCAGGCTTTACTCTTATAATTCCTTAAAGAACTCCTTATATTAAGAAAGTTTAATCATAAAATGAGATAAGAAAATATATAAAAAAGTCACTGTACAATCCTGTGGTATTGAAACCCTTAGGTCAAATTCTGATTTTAATTACTTTGACGCACATTCGGATAAGTTCCACTGAAAGTTTAAATGAAATTACAGTATTCTGTTTTTTGAATGGCAGGAGATTTCAACAAAATAATATCATTTGCCCTTTGTTCATTTTGTATTGAAGACTATGGATTGATGTAAAATCAACAGCAGCTAGTATAATCCACTCACTTTCCTATTAGGACTGTTAAAATGGCTGTATCTACATTCTTAACCAATATATAATACATTATGGCTAGGTATAGACATTCAAAAAGCACAAGGCAGAATCAAGCTAAGTTACGTGGTTTTCTATAAGTGGCATAGTTTAGATCGGTAGTGAACAGGACACACATTTGCCCTTGGGTAGGGGAAAGGGGGTGGGGGGAATCTTAGACCCAGTTCCACCACTTTTAAATCAGTCTACATGTGCTGAACTTCTGTTCTGTTGCGGATATAGATCAGTTTTGTGTGCCGAACTTCTATTCTGTTATAGGCCGGTTTCCAAACACTAAAAATGTAATGTCTATATCTGGCTTATGGTTCTGGTTATGATATCAAAGATGAATATTTCACAATAATAATTATTTTTTCAATTCTATATTGTTTTACATTAATATATGTACATAAAATAAAGAGTCATGCCAATATATCCCAAGTGCATGGTTCTTTTTTTTCTCCCAAGCAAAATCTTTTACTGGAAAAAAAAATTAAGTATGTGGAAACCATTGTTACTATCCAATATATTTGTGTTCATATTTTTGCATTATTTAGAGCATTATAATTATGCTTTTAAAACAACAATTTATTACTAAACTGCAATTGCTGTGGCAAAGCTAAATTTGTTTAATTTTCAGCCGTAAGTATATCAAACCCTAAAGGAAGGAATAAATACATTCTCTAATTTTTTCCATAATTCACAAAAAGGTATGACTCAGATGCTAAGATGGTATAAACTGATATCATTTCAACATAGTCAGTGGATGCATGTTGATATATACCAGTTACAGATTTGGTCTATATGACTGTGTCCAGACAAGTGCGGCCGTGCATTATATGGCACTGTAGGCACAAGGTAGCAGCATGGGTTGGGGGAGGAATGACCCCAGGAGATCCTGGGGTCAAAAATCCCACATACACACAAAAAAAAGGATGGCACACATGGGGACAGTGCACGCTGCCCAAAATGGAACCTGGCCAGCCAAAGCCAGGCTCTGAGTGGCAGAATCACCACTGCTGCAGCCCCAGGAGGCCCCCAGAACCGCAGGTAAGGCTGCTGATCCCAGCCTCCCCTGCCCCACCCAGTGCAACTTGCCAGGTGCCAGAGGGCACATGGCACAGGCATTCCCCAGGGACAAGTAGGAGTGGTACAAGGTGTCCTGCTGCTAATTGTCCCTGAGGAAACAAACATCCACGCTTGTGTGGACGTGGCCTATGTTTCACAGAATCATATCACCGATAGAAAGGATTCTACAAATATGTCAGAAGTAAGACGATGGCCAAGGAATGTGTAGGTCTCTTATGGAATGCAGAGGGCAGTATAGTAAGGTGAAGGCTGAAATATTGATTGCCTTTTTTATTTCAGTTTTCACAAATAAGGTCAGCTATCAATTGATGAGTGCAGCTGGCAGCACAATTAGGAAACACAAGAAATTACATCTGTCCAGTTTTTATATTCATAAAAGAATAAGAATCAGTTTTCTTCCCAAACTGTAATTGACTGCAACATCAGGAAAAGTTTCTTACCATTCCTCATACATTTAAAGCAAATAATTCACTGCTGACTTAGGTAAGAAGTCTGCAGGGTAAAAAGTACATTATGAGGGGACTGGGTGACACAAGCTGACACCTTCTCTCTTGTTGTATTAAGGGTAGCTATGCCATCTGGTTTCTGCTGCCAGGGATGAAATGATGGCTAGGACTAGATTGCAAGTATGAGGATTGTCTCACTTTAGCTTCTTCAGAGCACTGGATAGGGACATCTGATTAACCTATAAATGAATCTCACTTGCAGCACCAAGGGCTTTGCTTCCATAGGGAGCTGTGTGTGCTAGCATCAACAAACCTATCTAGTGATGGCAAAATCTTTTGTGTAATTCCTCTGCAAAAAAGAGATATCCAGAAATCAATTCTGAGGAGTGGTTCAGGTGCCCCATGTTTTACAGAAATGACAGTGGCTCAGATCAGAAATTTCTCTAACAAATCTGTCTCCTTCATGACATTAAACAGAAGCTTTGGACACACCCAGGGCCAGATTCCATTCCATCTACTGGGCTTCTAAGTAGATTTAGATGCCTAAATGTGGTGCTATTTTAGTCTGTTCACATTGCAAAAAAATCTGCATTTATCTACTTTTGTAAACCACCATCATCAGACCCTCAAGACTGAGTCACACAATGGCAGCAAGGAGGAGGACCCACCCACCTTTTGCATTAAAAGTTTTTAAGGGACTTGAGCTGAACGCAACAGCATTGCACTTAACTGTGTACATCTATTGATGCTTTAATGGGTGGAATAGAATCTGGTCCCCCAGGTAGTGACTATCCCTCCCAAAGAATCTCAGCTTTCATTATGGCAGATGAAACTTATACACTAGAGTAAATACTACATAACTTTAAGGCAGAGGTGTCAAGTTCATCCAGCCCCATTGGCTGAATGAATAGCACAGGGCTAGTCCATGAGCTAGATACAAAACAAGGGCAGCCTTGCAGGCCAGATGACAAGGCTCTGTACTCTGGGTCATCCCACGGAGCTACCCACTGCTTGGAAATTTAGTGGTGATTGCTATAGCTCCTGGAGCCCTGATAATTAACATTGCCCGTGCTGCCAGATTTCCAGACCCAGTACAATGGAGGGTACTCCATTATACCCTCAGGAGTAGCCCTGTGGATCTAGCCTATGAGTCCTACTTTTTCAAAGACAGAAACATTTTATGAGAGGAAAATCTTATATGAACTCAGAGATCAAACTAAAATGGATCTAGTATCAACTAGATTCAAAGCTAAACCCCATCTTAAATTAAATACTCTACAAATGAGATGAAATCAATACTTAGCAATGCTTGGGTATTACCAAAATCAATAAAGCAGGAAGGCTTAAAGTATAGGAAGCTCAAAGCTGCTGCCTCATAACAATGGAAAATAATAAAAAACACTCCCTAATTGGCTGAAAACAAAAATACCCCATGTTTATTGTATTATGAAAATGGTCAGAACTGAGAAAAACATGTGCCAATATACTGAGGGTGGCTTATACCCTTCATTGAAAGTTGAGACTCTGCACAAACTTATACTTCAGGTAATGCATATGAATTAAAAGCTGTTCTTTTCTCAAATTCTGGAAAATTCAAAAGCATAATGAGGTCTGAAGACTCTGACTTTGTAACCAAGTGTAATTTTATCAGACTATTAACATTGCAAGTATCATGGGCAGGCACCATGCTTGTACAGCATTAAACATTCTGTTACAAATAATAAAACAATACCAGTGGCAATGTAATACCTAAAAGTAAATAATGTATTTTATCTGTCCTAGGGTTTTATGCATCTGCACATTGCGGTGGCATCTGCTTGTTTTCCATGAAAAATAAACAGCAACAGCAGAGTTCTTAGTAGATTTCATGGAATCAACTTTCATGGGTCCACTCCTTTCTCAGAGTAAAAATTAAATGCTGCATGCTTTTCAGAGTATAAAAATGTACAGTTTGTGGTGGTTTACTGTAGGTATTTTAGTGGGGGAAAGGGTGTTTGGGCAGATGGCAGTGTTTATACTTTAAGAGCCACCAAAACAGAAGCCAAGCAAAAAAGGACCATTCATTTACCTCCCATTTTATGATATGATGCCTTGGCACTCAGACCTCAAGATGTCCTTCCTGTTTTTGCACTGCCATAGTGCGCTGAAAACCTGTTTGTTTCGCTGTCCGGGGTAGGTATGTTTTAGCAGCATATTCACTTCCCAGTTTTCTCCTTTCCACTGAATACTCAGGGTATGTTATTCACAAATATATTAGCTTGGGTGCTTCCTATCTGCCCAATGAATTCTTTTCCACTTATGTATCTAGTCCTGTTTAGAAACATTAACAAGGGATTGAAGGTGGCAAAGCACATCAGGATTACTTTGTGTGATTTCTTTTTATTTCCACCCTCCAAAATCTCATATTCTGCCATACTCTTTATTAGGCCACTAGGATGTAGGCTAGCCATCTAAATAATGACTCTACTGCAGAGCCAGTGGCCATGGCCTTCTGAGACTTGGACACCTAAGAAAGTTGATGTTATGCTGTCTGTTGCTGGTAGGTGTTGTAAGGCTTTGGCCCCTTTCTGGTTGGTGCCTTGTTCCCTAGCAATGTCAGGGTGAGACTGCACCCTGGGGCCTCCTAGATGGTTTCGGGCACTGCCCCTACTTTCCTGCCACGTCTTTGATGTTAATTGATGGTGAGGCAGTTCCCTGTCAGTAGTCCCAAAGGGGTCTTGACCCTGGTCTTTCTTCATGGGGCTCCAAACCTCCCCTTTACCCCACCCTTACCACATCCACGGCCTGGGAAGACACTGCTCCCTGTAGTCTTCCCTGGGATGATCTCTTCTCATCCACATTACCTGCCTTGACCAGGATCGGGTCTTTCCGGCTGTCAATTTCTCCTGAGTCAATCCCTGGTCTTCAGATCAACTTTCGGGCAACTAAACCTGCCCCGGCTCGGGGTAACTGTAACTTAGGAAAATTCTTAACTGAAACAGGTATTCATCTGCCGACGGGCACCTCAGATTCTAGCTCCCAGGACCCCTCTGTCCCCTGAGATGGGAGAAGGAATCCATCCATCTCTCTGTGTGTTTTTCCCAGCGCCCAGCTGACTAGGAGCTAATAACTCATGATCCCACCACCTGGTGGTACTTGCCACTTCCCCGTAGGGCTCCGCTGCAGCCGCCACGTGCTCCTCCCTCTTCACCAGACTGCCCGCAGGGTTTTGTTGTCACTTCTTGCCCCTCCCCGTTGCAGTACCTGACCTCTCCAGCACGGCTGTGACTTTGCCCATGCTTGCAAGGAAGAACTGCTTCTACCTGCCGTGGCGGTCTGGTGATCCTCATCTCCCTGTTCCTGCAGCCGGGCCAACCCGGCTGATGCTGGAGCTTCCTTTCCAGCGCTCAGTTCTGCCACTGCCTGGCTCCGCAGCCTGTCTCCTCCAGCCGGCGTGCTGCTCCTCTCCTCCCAGCCAGCCGATTCTCTCCCCAGCTGCTCTTCAAGCAGCCCACGCTTCTCCGAGGCCCTGCCCCCAGGGCTCACCGATCTGCAGGCTCAGGCAGCTGCGGAACTGCCAAGCCTGCGTCAGCATTTCCCCGCAGCTGCCGCTTGTCTCCTTCCCTGCAGTAAGTACCAGGGCTCATCTGGAGGGGTCTTGGGACATGTTGCGGGGTGGGACTTTTACTTCCCCTCTCACACTGTCCTGGGTTCCATATTGTGCCTTGACTGCATTACACTGCTAGACTTCACTAAAAAAAAATCTCAATTCTTGTAACTCAAATAATCTTGCAAAGGCTCTCCCTCTTATTTATAATGAAAAACAATTGGGCTTCCTCACACAGAAAAGAATCTCTTCGGGTGTGCATGCACATGCGTTGGGAGCCCTTTCAAAAAGGGAACATTTCAAAAGGGCAGTAGGGGTTACTTCTAATTGTGATCTGTGAATGAGCTGAGAATGAGTCACACATAGGAAAGCTTTAATTCAGATTTTAATTCTGGCTCATATGTAGCTCCAGCTTTAACCCTGGATGAAGCAGGGTTAAAGTTAGAGTGGGTTTTGCTACATGTGGATTGTTCTTGGCTCATTCGCACCTAACAATTAGAACTTAGCAGCTGCTACCCTTTTGAAACCTTCCTCTTGTGAAAGGACTCCAAATGTACATATGTCTACGCCCAAAGGTGCAACACTGAAAAGCACCCCTTAGATTAATTTCACAGGCTACTTAAAAAAAATCAACCTACATGTAGGTAGACAGACAGACTGATAGATGGATACTATAATTTTAAACAACTAACAGGTATATTACCAGATAATTTATTTTCATCATTTTTGTAATGAAAATTTTTGGGTGTTCTGCCAAAATGTTCATGTAATGAGCATTCAAATTTTTATATTAAAAGTAGTAAATTGAAATACAATTTTCATAATTCATTGGGAGATACTTTGCCAAGAGGAAGCAGAACATTGGAAACTAGAGTATTATAAATCAGTTTCAAAGTTAGTTCTCGCAAACAAATTTTCATCAGTTGTATCAAAGTCTATTCCAGAGATGATAATTAGAAATTAGAAGAGAGAGAGAGGTATTTAGTCTGTGGCAGAATGGCAGTGTCTATCAGAGGAATAGGGGTAGTTTATTTCTTTCTAAATGTCAGCAAAGCTAGCAATAAATTCACCCAGTTTATTAGCATTGCCACTCTATTGGGGAGTTAAAAAGAAACTTACTGCATTGATTTCTAAGCTCTAAGAATATCAATAGATGGCTATTTAAAAGTTCACAAATACCTGGCTCTCTTCCATGCTAATAATTTTCCAG